GTTATTTTTTTTTTTTTTTCGTCCCCAAGCTAACACCCTACAAGTACCCAAATTTACAGGGGAGGAGGGGGGGTCTGAAAAATTCGGCCCCCGTGAACCCTGCCGTTTCGCAGGCCACAGGAAGAAAACAAACAAACAAGTGCAATGTAGGAAATTAGGTACTGAGCACTCTGTAGCTTCTTCCGGAGGGGGGGGGGTGAAATCTTCTTGAGTAGAAGTTTGTTGGCTAGAGATGGCACCGGATTCATAGAGTATCACTCGTACGAGTTCTTCTCTACTGATTTTCCTGAGATCCTTCTCGAGACGAGAAAGCGACAGTTGATCATTTCCTGCGGGTTTTTTGAGTTTGACGGGGGGTTACGGATAAGTGAGTGAACAGACAACAAGCGATTCGTGAGCGATCACTGCTTGCATGGAGAGAAGGAAGGAGAAATGCGCCTGCTGTCCTCGAAGTTGGGATTCTTTGCCATGACAGGGACGTCAGCTTCCACACCAGTACTAGTACTGCACTAGGTCATAGCAAAGTAAGCTATGCCCCGGCTAACATGCGAACTTTCTCTCAAAAGTCTGTACAGTACAGGATGTGTAATCGAAAGAGAGGTAATTCATATTCCAACAAAATTTTCCATGTTTAACATATTATTGGAAAACACGGCAGGTTTTTTTTTTATTGGTTTATTTTTTAGGAGGGAAGTATCATAGGAAGGGAAAAAACCCTATCATATTAATATCGCAGTTCCTAAACAGGAGACCATACATCATGGCGGAATTGAGGTTTATAATTTAACCCATGCACTTTCTTGGAATGGAGCTTTCCATACTAACAGAATATTTCTTCAATGAGCTATAATAATTATGTCCTAATCTGACCATTCAAGTTTGTTGAAAAAGTTGTTCTATCTCCTACCTGCTGCTTACCTGAGTTGACTACTTTTTTCCGTATAATTATAATATTATGGAGTAATAAGGGATCACAGAAATATAGAGAATATGATACACCTTTTAATTCTGCTCGATGAGCCGAGCTCAATCAGCTATAGTATATCCGAGTCCTGATATAGCTATGATGCTAGCTAGTTGTAGAATTAATATATCCCCTGCCTACCGCTGATCTTAGCGGACCACTTTTATTCACAGGTATTATAAATAGGAGGAGAATGCATTATTCAATACACTATGGTATATCCTAATTTGACCACTAGGTGCGGAACTGCCATTTCCCCTATCCGCTGCCAACTCCAATACACTCACACCCCGCTATCCCGGACGGCCAGGATCCGAAGAATCTGTCCGGTACGGCGAGTTATCCGGGACAACAGGCCAGGTTTTGGTGCAAAGAAATTCAGAATTCATCGGAGTTTCATACGGGACAGCGAGGTATTCGGTTCAGTGTGATCCGGGATAGCGGGGGGGCGAGTGTAGACCATTTTCACCCGCAAAGACTACTAAGAGTTACAGGCATCTGGGGAGAGAAGGAACACATTGTCCAGTTCTAAAAACAAGTGAACTAGGAGCACTACGGAAACAACGACGATTAAGGGTCAGCGTTCAGGGTGCCGGATAACTGGTGCTCGAGCAGACCCCAAAATAGTATGATATCGGATTGCCACCCGTATCATAAACAATTCCAATTCCGCTGGAGTATATTACTGGAAGGATTTGAAAATTTTGGTCGCGTGGAAAGGTTTGGTTTGGAAAGGCTACTGCCACCTGTACCAATCAGAATGGGACTATTTCTAATTTTCTGTAGACTTCCCCTAAGGTATCGGCAAGGAGGAACTATCATGGTTGAAAAATTTCCAGAATTTCCATCACCTACTAATTCATGGAATTATTATATTTTCTGTAAATTTTGTGTTGTCAACCACCGGTACAGTACTGTCACGGTACGGTAGTTGTTGAGAACTTTACTGATTACATAAGTCAAGTCGGAGGAGAGCCGGACTAACCGCGGATGTCATCCAAACTGCCGCAGCCAACGTCCCCACAACTCCCCCAACTGTTCTCCACGTCGAGAAATATCATAGAATATTCCCTCCATCCTCAACAGGTCTAAACCAAACGTTGTTCCGCTAGACAGACCCTCCCGTTCCATTATTGGGAAATAGACTACTAACTTAGATTTTGTTTGTTCCTTCATCCTTGGTCACTTTGTCTCTCGCGTCGCATTCATCGCCCCTTTCCCGAAAAATAGTTCCAACTTCACAATATGGGTACCTACAAACCCAATACTTTACCCCTAATCCCGCTCCCGTACTCTGCTGTCCTCTTCCCCGGCGTTATTCGTGAGTTGGTCTGTGCGCCCCCCGATAGGAACGCAACTAACAAGGTTCTCTTTTACCCGTAGTTCGCATCTTCATTTCCGACCGCCAGGACATCGCCGCTCTAGTCGCTAAGCTCTCTAACAACAACACTACGCCGCTCAATTCTTCCGATCTGCGAATAGGGTGTATCCCACTAAAGCCTCCGACGCCCGTGAGCCCACCAATCGCCAAAACTGACGAAGACAAGAAACGTATAATTGAGGAGGAAGGCGATGAGGTCGAGGAAACCCAGCCGGCATTCCTGAATATCGACCCGTCCTCAGCCACCCCGGAGGAATTATTCTCGCACGGTACCACAGCCCAGGTAGTCGGCCTGGAGGGCCACTCACGCGTGGACTCGTTTGGCACTCACGGGGCCAATGGGGGGAATGGGATGGCACTTGTGGTGGAAGGGGTCTCCAGGTTTAGGGTCAGGCAGTTTCTACAGCGAACTCCCTTCATCGAAGCCGATGTGGAGCACTTTGTCGATTCGCCCGTGCAAAAGTCCGATGTTCCCGCACATTCTTATTTCACCCAGCTCAAGACGTTGAGCAGAGAGCTTGTTGCATTACTCCAGATGAACTCTTCCAGAGGTGTAGGATTACCACCATTGGTCGCCAGGCGGCTGGAGCTCTTAATCGCCGAGAAGAAGCTCTGTGATGCGGGATCCCTAGCAGATTTTATGGTTTCTGCTGTAGAAACCACGCTCGCTGAGCGATTGCGGATCCTCTCCGCCGTTGATGTTCCGGAAAGGTTGGAGAAAGCGGTCACCGTACTTACCAGGCAGGTTAACAAGATCAAGTCAATTCTCACTAGGAGCAATAAGATTCTTCCTCCGCTTATCGTCATGGATAGAAGGGATGGCTTACCGTCTCTTCCGGGCGTTCCGCCGAGAAGTGCGAAAAGGAGCGCTGGCTTTGGGGACATGGATGAGGATGGAGAGAATGACGAAGAACTGGACGAATTGTCCAAGAAGATTGAGGAGGCCAAGCTAAGTCCAGAAGCGCTGAAGCTTGCACGGAGGGAAATGCAGAGGCTGAGAAGAATGAGTCCTATCCAAGCCGAATACGGCGTGTGTAGAACATATTTGGAGACCCTAACAGAGGTAAGCTTTTTCTTTTCTTCTTATTTATTTCTCCTGGTAGATGTGGCATTTCGCGGGTACTCCGGCAGTGATGTCCCACACCCTCGGATATCGAGTCATATCTGGTCATGCGAGCCTTGTCTCCAACATCATGAGCCTGATGACACTTGGCCGCGCCAAGGAGTGATCTCCCTCAATATTCCCATGGATGCATTCCCTGGCCAAAGGCTGGTGGCTCGGTGGAATCCTGCCGGAAGCCCAAATTCCTTACCGATTAAGCATGGAACTGGGTACCATGAGAATAAACTGGCTCCTCCGGAGTTTTCAACTGTAGTTCCGACCTCGTTGGTACCATCTCTCACAACAACGCGCGTTTCGAATATCGCCCGTAATTAATTTATCCGGTTACAATGCAATCTTGCTATAGAGCTATAGACGGGCGATCGAGAGATTTGCTTTGACTATTTACCAATCACTTTTTTTCCTCTCTTCAAATCCATAGAGTAGTTTATAGAAATTTCCCTGATGCTAACCAATGGCTTATCAATGATTAGATACCGTGGTCGATAACTACCGAAGACCAGCTGGATGCCACAACCCTTGTAAGAGCAAGGAAGCAACTCAACGATGATCATTACGGGCTTGAAGCGATCAAGAAGCGACTTCTTGAGTACCTAGCAGTTCTCCGTCTGAAGCGTCAAGTCAACATGGAAAACGAGGCCGCAGCAAAGGCCGTTGAAGACCAAGCCAAGAAACTTGAGGAAACTGCCCCCAAAGAAAACAAGGAAACCCAGCTGATAAAGCCTCTGGCCCCCAAGAACGATGAACCGGTGATAGCGAAGAAGCCCCTGGTCGATAAATCGCCAATCCTGTTACTCGTGGGGCCCCCGGGAGTCGGAAAGACAAGCCTTGCGCGTAGTGTGGCCTCTGCTCTAGGTCGAAAATTCCACCGGATCAGTTTAGGAGGTGTGCGGGATGAAGCGGAGATTAGGGGCCATCGAAGGACCTATGTTGCCGCTATGCCTGGTCTAATAGTTAATGCGTTGAAGAAAGTTGGGGTGGCGAATCCGGTAATATTGTTGGGTAAGTTTATTACAGGGAGTTTCAAACGACCCTTCTTTCCACATCCTAACATCGGGACTGCTTTGAGCTCCTCTGGGCGCTTTCCCAAGTTTACTCCATCTACCGGCAATGGAATAGACGCTGACCCTGAACCCACAGATGAGATCGACAAGATCGGAGGAGCCAACTTTCATGGAGATCCGAGTGCAGCAATGTTGGAAGTTCTTGATCCGGAGCAGAATTGGAGTTTCACTGATCACTATATCAACATCCCTATCGATCTATCCAAAGTGGTATGTTTCCCGATTCCCCCAATAATATTTTATTCTATTATTTTGCTTTCTTGCTCCCTACCTCCCTTCACGGGAGAGAGAGGATAGAGAGGAAGAGAGGGAAAAAGAATATACCCCGCTTTTTCTACCCGAGATGTCAAAAAGAGCTCCCTCGTTTCCCGGCTCTGGGGTCCTCTCTCTCTTTAAACGACTGGGCATGCTTTCCTCTGTCCGCGCTTTGATTGACTACCTCTTTTATTCATTTCTTCCCCTTTAGCTTTTGCGCATCCCCACGTCAATCAATCCAACCCCCGACCCCACGGTCACTTCCTTAACCCCCTACGTCTCACGCCCACCCCCCTCTCACTCCAACTCTTACTCCCCCTCCCACCTTCCTTGTACCGCTTGCCCCGGTCTCACAGTCCTATCCCCCCCCCCGCCCATTTGACTTTAATTATTTCCCTAATTTTCCGTACGCGAGGGTTACTGGGGTTTGGCACGAATGACACTTGCGCCCCACCCAATACCCCCCTACCTCGCAGTACAGCTGTCACTACCGACCGGAGAAGCAAGCGGAGAATAATTTCTTGAAATTATCACGTTCGCTATGAGGCAGCACACCATCTCCCTACCCTACCCCACTTACCGGTACCCCCCTAAACTTACCGGGGCACTACTGATTCCCGCTCCTCTTCTCCCCTCCTCACTCCCTTATCGTTGTACCGGCTCCGCCCTCCGACTTTCCCCTATTGCTCGCGTGTCCGGGAAAAGTATGCGGGGAGCCGCTGCTTGCCCATTTTGTTTTAAAAAATATTTTCCGCTGATGGCGAGATTCCGCACTTCCCTGATCCCAGGCTAATATCGGTAATTGGTAATATCAGCTCTTCATCGCGACAGCAAATTCCGTGGACACAATTCCGCCTCCACTCCTCGATCGTATGGAGAGGATCCAGTTGAGCGGGTACACATCCCTAGAGAAAATGCATATCGCATCCCAGTACCTTATTCCTAAGCAGGTGCAATCTAATGGTCTAGCCGCCGGCCAGGTAGAGATTTCAGCCGATGTGCTGTCAACGATCATAACGTCGTACACCAGGGAATCGGGTGTTAGAAACCTAGAGAGGGAAATAGGGAGCGTCTGCCGAGCCAAAGCAGTTGAATATGCCGAAGCCAAGGACGCTCACAAGGAAGAGTCCTACAGGCCAAGGGTTGAGGTCTCGGAGCTCGAGAGCATACTCGGGATTGAAAAGTATTACTCGGAGATTGCTGAACGAAGCAACAAGCCCGGTGTCGTCACGGGATTGGTTGCTTTCAGCACCGGTGGCATCGGTTCCATATTATTTATAGAAGCCGAACAGATGCCGGGTAGCGGCAGGCTGCAGTTGACGGGGAAATTGGGCGAAGTAATCAAAGGTTCGTCCCATGTTTTAGATTCCCTTTCCACCAATCATGTTTTGATTGAATCCACAACAAATCACAACGCATGAAGAATCTAACCGATCGACAACTTTTTTTTTTGTCCAACCCACCATCATACAGAAAGCGTTGAGGTAGCATTAACCTGGGTGAAAGCCCATGCCTACGTCCTGGGACTCACGAACCATCCGGACGAGGATCTTACAAAGAACAGGAACGTGCACGTGCATTGTCCTGCAGGCGCGGTGCCAAAGGTTAGTTACTCGCGATTTGTTGACTCGCAGCTTATCGACCCTCCAATCCCTCCTTTCTTCTTCCCTTCCCTCCCTCCCGTTCGGCAATTGTCAGCTGACTTTTTTATCACGACAGGATGGCCCGAGCGCAGGTGTTGCCTTCACGATCGCCATGATATCGATGTTTTCTGGTCGTCGAATATCACCCACGCTCGCTATGACAGGCGAGGTTTCTCTCCGGGGAAGAGTCACCCCCGTGGGTGCGTTACCAAAATTTATCCCCCTATCCAATTATATTTTCAAAGTGCACTGGAGGGAGTGAACTTGAGCTAACCTGAGTTATTATCATTATTTTTCGCAGGCGGGATTAAAGAAAAATTGATAGGAGCTCTAACTGCCGGTGTAAAGACGGTACTTTTACCTGCGCATAACAGGAAGGAAGTACGTGAGCTCCCTGAGGAAGTCAAGAACGGGCTCGAGATAATATATGTGAGGTAAGCGACGGAACACCATCCGACAAGTCATAACCGAGATATGGAGCCTTTGCTGATATTATCCTCGTTTTGTCCTCGCAGGAGTGTATGGGAAGCGCTTAAGCATGGCATGCGTCCCCTTACCCTACTCGTTCCCTTTCCGTAAACTAACCAAGTTGTATAGTCTGGCCCGAATGGACCGTTGGTGAAGAAAACATGGCGTTTGAAAGTCGACTATGATTGACTGCGGTAGGATATTATTATAGGCGGGGAGCAGTGCGTCTTACTTGCTTTGATTAAGTTCTGTATTCCACCGGATTGTGGTTTATTTTATTTGCATTTTCTCCATTAGTTTGTCACATTACATATCGTATCCAACTCACCTCGCGATCTCGATTATTATTATTATTTTTCTCCTTTCGCTTCCCTTGCATTCTCCCGCGTCTTCCATGTCATAGCATCTCATATCCGAACATACCGGTACACCCAAATTAGATATATATATATATATATTGCTCGATCCCTCATTTGATGGTGATGATGACGATATTATTATAGCCCGGTATATAGATTTTTTTTAAAAAAACTCTCCGATTCCTTCCTACCTTTCCTTCCCCCCATCCCCCGTCGCGCTCGCATGTTCACCGCCCCTCACGGGCATTCGCAGTGGAAGTACAGTACGGCGACGCCGCCCATCGGAATAACCACCGTAGTAACGTAACACCACCATACTATATCGCAGCACCATACCCGGGCTGTCACTGTCACCTGTCCAACCGACAGCCGCGGACCATGTAGACGGGGAGGGGAGACGAGTATTACGGTGGGCAAGGTGGGAAGGCAGTTTACCCGCTGGGGTGTGCGGTGTGCCCCTCGACTACTCGTACAGTACCGTGCACCGCTCCACAGCGAGTAGTTCCTGGACAAGGGGTATATGTATATGTATGTATGTACCGGTATTGCATCGTACTTGTAGCTGCCGTAAACTGTCCCGAGGAAAGGAGAGGAAAGGAGAGGAAAGTGCCGGTACGTACCATATGGTGCACCCAGACGTTCTCACTATCGATCCTTATCGTTTTCCTCCTCCTCCCACTAGAGCAGCGCATCGTACTTGCGAAACCGCAGTTTATTATTGTGCGAGCATCCACCCGCGTATCCTGCACTGCCCAGGCGGTCCGCCATCACCATTCCATCGCGTTGATTCCTCGCTTACTCACCCACGATAACTATACATCAAGACAGAAGAAGTTAAGTTACCTATGTATGATGATTAGGTAATTGCCGTTTGGTACCATATGTATACTTGTAATCCAGCCCCAGAAAAAAGTTGGCCAGGGTTTCCTACCGGTACGGTATGTTATGTTATGTATGGTATGTATGGTGTCGTGGTCCTACCGGCGCGATATCAAATTTATAAGTAACTGTTAATCCCCACCCCCTCACTTTTTTTTGTTTACTTTTATAATTTCCACATTCCGTGTGCAAGTACGAGTACCTAAGTACTAGTACTGTACTGTGCTCGAGCACGGTATGATACACACACAACGTAAACATAAACCAGACGTCGGTGCCAGATTAACTTGGAACCGTGCGGCACTGTATCGTACTTGTATATATACAGCCCAGCACCCCCCCCCCAAGGCGAGTACCGGGAACCGTATTATCCGGTCCCCTCTTGTGTTCCGCAGAATTTTGGACGGAAGGTATGATGATATCGTACGTACGAGTACAGCAAAGGTACCGGTATGATATCAAATAAGCCGATATGGTACGGTAGGGTAAGTGAGTACCCGTCCCCAGGTAAGAAGCACCGACAACAGGGGAGAGAGGTAAGGTATGTATGAGAGATATGGTATTTCGTACTTTTTGAAGCTTCGGATATGCACAGTTTTTGTTTTGGGGGGGGGGGTGTTTTAATCCCTGCCTCTCGGGTACAGTACAGCACTTGTTGCCCGGGACAGGCAGGTACGGTACAAGTACGTACGATGGTGGGTACCGGTAGGTAAGCCAACCCCTCCCTCCCCCTCCCCCTCCCCCTCCCCTCCCCTCACCCCCCACCCCGTCGGGGAAGTGATATCCGCAGCCGAAGTTCTACTTGTGGGTGGATATCGTGCTCCACATACCGCTGGACCGGCACCCGCCGGTTGTGATGCTGTTTGAGGCTTACCTTGGATAGATAGATAGATAGATAAACAGACAGACAGACAGATAGATACAGCAGGTATTCTGCTTATTGTGGGTGGACATTGCACATATTGGAACTGTACGGCAAAAACCCGGCGATGAGAGAGCTCTCTCTTTCTAACCCTCCTCCGTACTACCCCACCGTACGCACAAAACGGGAATTGGTGCGTCCTTTTCCTACTCGTACCCCCCCTTTCATTCCTGCAGATGCGCTCGTAGAATGGGGGGGGCGTATTTTCTTCTTCGGGGGATTTGTGCGGACTGATGATCTACTTTACTGCGCTGGACTGGGCTGGGCTGGGCTGGGCCCCGGATGGAATTGGTTTTGCTGACTTTATATGATAACTGTTGCTTTTTTTTTTGTTTTTACCTTGTTTCTTTTGTTGCTCTGGGGCAGCATACAGTAGGCTACTCGTTCCATTCGAGTTGATGAGGACGGATGCATCGATGGAGGTTCCCGTTCCGCTAGATCGCTGCGATTCTTATTCACCCTACCGGTATCCCTCTGTTATGATGCTGTAAATTTTGTGATTGGAGGGGAGGGGGCTTGTTTTCCGGTTCGACTCACATTCACATTTGCCATACCGTACCGGTATGCTGCTGGCCGTCCCCGGTTTTGCATCCTGACGGGCTGTTGCTGCCCCCCAGCTACTCGTAGCTACTTAGTATTAATACGGCAGCGCAGTGCTGTGCAGGTCACTCGGAGATCAAGGTCAAGTGAAAAAGAAAAAAAAAAGTATATATGGGGGGGGGGAGCAGTGATATGACGATTCGCAGTCCTGTGAAAAGCTGCCCCCCGCCTCCTCAATCTCTCTCTCTACCCGGCCCATTCCTCTTCGTGCGGTAACCTACGGTACCGCGCAGGTTCTGATAATACCGTACCGCTATCATGAGCCAAAAAGAGCAAGAATAAGGGTAAGAAATGAAGGCGGAAAAAAAGCAATGCCGGAGGTTACGGTAGTGAATTCGTGGAAGTGGGTGGTGTGCCCCAAACCCAAGTGCCCGCGCACCTACTATTTCTCATGAATGGGGTTTTCCGAGAAATAAGAAGGGAAATTTGTTGAATCATGAATTTGCGCCCATGTGTGTTCAAATGTGTGTGTTGTGTGGTGGTGGTGGTGGTGGGAGCTTCGAACCCAACTTAGGCCTTTTTTAGCTTTCATTCGTTCGATATGGTAACTGGTAAATGGCGCCGTGGCAGGGCCCGAGGGGATCCCAGCGCCTGAACAACATTCTCTCCGCCCGCCTCCAATTGGGTGATGTGCCCTGTGATATTATCGCAGTTATGTCGATCATGAAAAAGGGACGAGAGCAGACGGGGAATGAAGGAGGAGGAGGGGGGAGGGAAGTATCCGTGTTTTGTTTTTTCCTTTCGGGCTTTGATTTGCTATGTCAACTTACTGTACTTCCCTATCAACACAAGCTCCAAATGCGGAAGAAAGTGAGCTGTAAGTTAAGTTCCGGTCGCCGCGCCAGGTAGGAATAAAATAATAGAAAGACTACGCTATCATATCCTACACCAAACTATTACACATGTTTCAAAATGCTCCTACGATATGAAGGAACCGGGGGTCGATCGAGGATTTCGGCGCTAACATGACCGGAGAAGTGTTTCCGCAGAGCGGTAGTAGAGTAACGCCAACCGCCAGAGCTACGGAATTGTGTCGCTCTTGTTGCACTTGTACCGTACCTGGGGTAAAGTACTTGTACGGTACTGCACGAGTACTCGAGTACTCGTGCAGTGAAAGCCAGATAAAAGTACGCACGGAATCATAACTCCTGCGCAGCAGGGAGCTGGGAGCCTTTGCTCGAGTGGATCATCATGCGCAAAGCAGAGCGCAAAAAAGGGGGGAGCACAAGTCACTTTCGAGGGCTTACCGTAAAACAAAACTCAGGGCCCAGTTCGCATGCCTCTCCGTCGAACCACATGAGATTGGGCGATTGGCCAGGCTCTTTCCAACTCTCTGGCGGCGGGAAAAAACATATGATAATGCGTGATATTACTCGAGTATACCAGTATCTTGTGCTGTATGTACGAGGGCTGTCTGCAACTGCATCTTACAGTACCGCACCCTACTTTGTCGTGCAAGAGTCCGAGAAACAGAAAGTCCAGACGAAGGCAATCCTGACGGAGAAAGGGGGGGGCTCGATCAGCGGGGCAATTCAAAAGGAAAATGCCGTCGCGGACGGGGGAGTTGAGTCTCCCAGCTGTCCATCCGGGGAATGCAAAGACCACCAAGCCGTCACCCATCATCTGTTGTGCGAGTTCCGGCGGGGAGGATCCTCGAAAGCAGCGGTACGACAGACCGGGCGAAATAGCTATGAAGAGGCGGTCTTTGGTAAGATACATATGAGGAATGACATTTTGTATCTCTGATTACCAGTATGTGTTTTTGCTTTTTCTTCTTATTTTCCCTTCTCCCAAACCCTCGATTGAACCTTTAGCTCCTCCCACTTCCCTCCCACGCGCATGCGGGCCATGCCCACCTTCTGGCTGAGTCTGTTCTTTTTTTCCTTCAGAGTTGCTTTTTCACTCCGGCTGATCATGCCATCCAGGGGTGCTTGGTAGAGTAGCCAGCGGCGCTGGTGTTAGCGCATGGCCCCTTCTTCCCCACATGTCGCCATGATTGCCTGGGACGGGAACGGTTTCGGCGACTTGAAGATACACATAACGCTTTTGGTCACTATTCGTACAATACTTGATGAGGTTTCCCCCGTTAGGACACCACGCATACCGGTACTTTTTTATCATCGCTCTCCCAAAAGCGAGTAAAAGGCCCTCGCAATTCAATAGGGCCCAACTTAACTGTTTGGCCAAGACAGGTGATTGCCGGATTAGACCTCGCTTCTCTGGTTTGATCTCTCTTTCGGTAATGCCCATTTTGTTGGTTTCCGGCTATGTGAAGCGAACTTTGGTAGCGGGACCGGGAATTGGGTTGAAGGTACACTTCTATGTAACCCTCGGTTCGCCAACCACGTTTTCACGCGCTGCGGAGGTTGCATGTTTCCCCCTTTTGGCATCTTTTGGTCGTTTTTCCCTTTCCAGTTTCTCGTAAATCCCTCCCCTACCCCCTCACCCCCCCCCCGGTCTGAACTTTCTCTCTACGTTTTAGTCATCTGTGTACGGCCAAGTCTGGCCCTTTCGCTATCCATTTCACCTGATCCACCCATCCATCCATCCATTCCAAAATCGAAGTGATCAATAGAGTGATAGAAGGGTTTGGAACGGACGAGCGGATGGGCGGGCGAACGCCATCCTAAAGCTCTTGGCTACCGGTAGTAAACCCATCACCACAAAGTCCAGGAGAAAGGAACTTGTTGGGTTACCTTTGGAAACTTCGCTAATCTTATGAGAAGCATGTGACATATATTGTATGCGCGCTTGCTGTAGATTTAGTGGTTTATGTAGAATGCCGGTAAAGGTACCGTAATACAGCGTTATGTGGGTCTATCAAGGTCTAAGTCTAAGATACTTGTGCTCGAGTAGCATGCGATATAAAAAAATCGGAAAACTAGGGTTAGAAACACGGAAACCGATTGGCTCGAGCCACCAACGCTCCAATCAGAATTTCTAAATCCCGTGTCTCATTTTCCGATTATTTATTTTACCCCGGGCTAGTACTTGTACAAGCACTCGAGTACCGTATTTGTATGATAGAGATGCTTTCGTGCGAGAGGGGTTTTATTTTGCTGGTTAGTTATCCCTGTCCGGTGCGAAAAAATTTCCCCAGATACTTGTACTGTACTATACCGTACGAGTGCTCTCTATTAGACTTGTGTGCAGTCGTGTTTAGTCTGGTATTGTATATTCATTTGTTCCTTCCAAACAACATTTCTTTTTTGTCCCTTTCCTTTTTTCTCCTCCAACGCTAAGAGGCGCACAGAAAGACAAAGGAAGCCCCCCAGGATCGATGTGCCGTGCAGCGCAGCAGCGGAAGACTGTTTAAAGGATGTTAGACACAATTGAGGCTGGCTGGTTGCCGACCGACGATTTTCCATCTCACTCGACGAATCTCGGTCGAAACTGTCCTTGTACGAGCACCAACTCTGCTCGAGTAATAGCCCACTTTCGGCAGGTCATCGAGCTCGGCTACTGGAGTTGGAAAGCTTGAAACCTTTAGCCAGGGCCACCGCGCCCCCATTTCCTTCCCAGCGCAACTGTGCAAGGGACGGCTGCACAACATGGAGATCTATGCGCTTCCTCCTGCAATTTAGCAGTCTTATACCCGTTTGACATTAAGATGACCACTTCATCCCCAATATCAACAATACCTCCCCACGTAACTTATCTCCCTTCTCGCGGTGCCGTACCAGCACCCAGCTCGTAGGGACAGAAAATCACAAAAGGTCTGTGACAGTTGTAGAGAGGGCGAAGCGTGACTATTTGGCCTGCTACATCTCATTCAATTCTTCAAACCCCAGACGTTTCGCCAAATCGGATCAGTGTGTTCCGAAAACTCCCTTCCTCGAAGCTCCCTTCTCTCCTTCCTTGGATGTGTTGCCCTTCCACCTATGCTACGCTTTGGGTGCGCACACGCACGTTATTTTGCGAGCACAAGGTAGAGCATGAGAAAATATTTCCCTTTCATTTTCCTCACGAAACCTCCAAACCCTGAAGGGTCCTCCCTTATATCATGTCTCAAAATTGTAGCGGTTTTCCCTTCGGTCCACGATTAGTCCACCTTTATCCTCGTTGTGAGCTGCGCCCGCATATTCGACTCGATCGACAAACCCCCCCCCCAAAAAAAAAAGGAGAGCTACTGTGCCTGCAAGACGAGACAAACGCAAGAGGAAAAACATCATGCTCCACAGGAGCCCCTGGGATGCTCCTTGAGATGATGGAGTTTCGGACCATGGGTGAAGGCGTGATAGGCTCGGGTTCCCGATCTGAGGCGCAAACGACCCCACAAAAAAGGTCCTCTGCATGTGGTTTGGGGGTTCTGTCACAGCCTTTTTCCCATATCAACCTCGTATTATGTGTGCTATACCGGTAGTACCGGCACATATCTACAATTGACATCGGTTCCACCTCAAACTGTACGATGTTCCGAATGAACGTCGTCGTCGGGGAAGCATGAGCATAACGGGACCGCATACCGGTATTAGAATCGGTAATCCTTGACTGCTCAATTAGACCCTCATTCGTTCGTCCGTTCTCCTTTGCGAGACCATTCCCTGAACAAATTACGTGTGGACATCCTTGTGGACTCTGAGCGGGAAGGGCTTCCTTGTTGTGTAGGAAGGATTCGGAAGATTGGAGCTCAAAGCTCAGAGCTTGCGTAGGCTTGACCGATTTTACGCTCCCCGAGAAATTTCTCAATCCCCCTCTGTTTGTCTCCGGAGGGAGAGCGCATACTGACTATGCATACCCCGTCCTGCACCTGCCCTTCCCTCCGAGCAATAGGGACTGAGTAAGTAGGGGAATCCGAATGCATGGTCAATATCGAACGGATTTCAACCCATTGTGCTGTGCTTTGGCTTGTCTGCTTCCTTCCCGGGATTCGCTGGCAGGGCCTATCGCGCTAAATAACAGGTCGGTCTCTAGAAGAGAAGGCAGTTTTTTGTTACACGTCTTGCAATTGAGGCGCACCATCGCAGGACAAACTCCGCTCTTCTGTCCGATTTCAGAGACTCAGTACTATACAGCACAGTACCCGTACAGTACATCCATTGTAGGGCTGTAGGTTGCCAAATCATCGCACGATTGGGCACCCACATCCATCTCCCGCTGTTGCG